CCTGCGCGGGGACGCGCGCGACGCGGGAGGAGCGGGAGCACGATCCCTGGAAGACGTGGCCTCAAAATCCGGCCCCCGCGTTCCGATCCCCGTTCCGTCCGCCGCGTGTTCCGTGCGCCGCGTGCTCCGTGTGCGTGCTCCGTGCGCGTGCCCTCTGCTGCCGCTTCTTCGTGAGGCTCGTCAGCGAGGCTCGCTTGGCTGTGCAGTGGCCTCGGGCCCCTGGGAGGACTCGCGCTCGCCTCCCTGCGGTGCACGCTGGGCAACCTGCGGACGCTCCGGCGGCAGAACCCGTACCCGGCGAGCGAGCCATGGCCCGCCGTCGCTCGGGCGCCCATGCCCCGGTGCACGCTTCGGTCTCGTGCGTGTGCTTTTGCGCGGGGTGCTGCAAGATGCTCCCCGATGGCCCCCGCCGGGAAGAAATGCACACGTCCAAGCGATGCCAAGAGGGGCGTGGCGCTCCTGCGGGTGCTGCGGGAGGCCGCTGGGCGCTCGCTCCCACCGCTCCGCCCGCATCTTCCCGCTCATCACTCGGCCTCCACATCCAACCCTCAGTGCATCCCCCAATCCTCCCCTAATCCTCCATCTCCACTTCCTCCACCTCCCCATCCCCTCCTCCTCGCCATCCCCTTCTCCTCCACCTCCCCATCTCCTCCTCCTCTTCCTCCTCCTCCTCCTCCTCTCCTTCCTCCTCCTCCTCCTCCTCCGCCTCCTCCTCCTCCTCCTCCTCCTCCTCCTCCTGAACTGACTACCTACCTCCTCCTCCTCCTCTCCTTCCTCCTCCTCCTCCTCCTCCTCCTCCTCCTCCGCCTCCTCCTCCTCCTCCTCCTTCTCCGCCTCCTGCATCGGCGATACATCGGCAACGTCTGCGATGCATGGGCGAAGCGGGCGTGAAGGACATCTGGCTCCACATCGATCCGCATCGCGGATGCTCCGGCAATGCGGCGCGATCCTCCGACCTCATCTACTCTGACCTGAGGGAAACGTGCCCTGGCGGAAACGGGTCGTGGACCCTGAGGCCTTCTCCAAGGACTGGCTCTTCGTGTCGAGTGGTTTTCTGACAACCCCAGGGCCCGTAGAGGGCCCCGTGGGCCCGACCAGTGTGCCTGTTTCCCCCAGGATTTGTTTGCTTCACGGCGGCTACTCCATAGAACGGGAGGAATGGCGATCCCCATCCCAGACTTTGGTTACGACTCGCAACACTCAGGGATACACGATAGGGGGCGCTCATCCTCGATTCGGCGGCGCGCCCGGGGGGGAAGCCAGAGTGGGCATGCCCTCAGAAGCGGGGCTGCCCAGAGGATGGCGGGGCTTCTCAGAAGCCCTCCGGCCGTTCGAGAAGCTGTCTCCCCCGACCTCCGACGTCGTGTTTTTTTCACGTCGACCCCCAGAGGTCTCGACCCCTGCCCCGGGACCGGTTCTTCGTCCTGAGTCGTTGCTTGACGGTCCCGAGGCCTGGGAAGGGCCCCCAGAGGCCGAACATGGCCAAAAACCTCCCGCCGTGATTGTTTCACGACGCGAGGAGGTCTGGGTCTCTCTCTCTCTCTCTCTCTCGCCCTCTTCGGAGCAGGCTCAGGAGACTTCGCAGAGGCCCGCGGACTCCCGAGCCTTCTGGGAAGACCCGCCCCGCCCGACTCCCCCCTCGGGCTCGCGGGCGATCCACACGTTAGGGGTGAGGAGGCCGAACTGGTCGCCACCTCGGAGTAATTTTTGCGCGGAGGGGGGGTCTCGGGGATTGGACGCGAACCGTCGCCTCCACTACAGTCGGGGCGCTGACCTAAGGAAAATAAGGAGCGAGGCCCCTTCTTCCCATAAGTTAACCTTCGATCTCCTGTCGAAAACAAGGAAAGCCTGAGGCAAGCTGTGAAACACGTAAGGAACGCGGAGCCCCTCCCCAACCAAAAGGGTTCCTTCTTCAGGGCCCCGACTGTACTCGGACAGGAGGTGGAGCTGCAGGAAACACTTAAGGAACGCGGAGCCCCTCCCCGACCAAAAGGGTTGCTCTTCAGGGCCCCGACACGACTGTACTCGGGCAGGAGGTGGAGCTGCAGGAAGTGCGGGCCAGCGGCAGAAGTGGAGCTGGAGGAACACCGCTCCAGACCGCCCCTTGGAGAGGGAAATGTGAGCATCCAGTCGGGCTCGTTCCCTGACCTCACCCAGGGCTCGAGCGAAACAGTGTCTTCCGTTTTCGTTGTGTCTTCGTTGTTCCTCGTTATGTCTTCGTTCCACCTCTGCTGCAACACAGCATCGGAAAGACAGCGGTCGAAAAACAGCGGTCCACGCAATCGCCAGAACATCGTTCAGCTCGAGCCCTGACCTCACCTCGGGATGTCCCCACCACCTCTCTGCGGCCCCCGTGCGAGTTTCGGGTCGGACGCGGGGGAGGGAGGAGGAGGAGGAGGAGGAGGATGAGGAGGAGGAGGAGGAGGAGGAGGAGGAGGAGGAGGAGGAGGAGGAGGAGGAGGAGGAGGAGGGGAGGAGGAGGAGGAGGAGGAGGAGGAGGAGGAGGAGGAGGAGGAGGAGGAGGAGGAGGAGGAGGAGGAGGAGGGAGGAGACGAGGAGGAGGAGGAGGAGGAGGAGGGGAGGAGGAGGAGGAGGAGGAGGAGGAGGAGGAGGAGGAGGAGGAGGAGGAGGAGGAGGAGAGGAGGAGGAGGGAGGAGGAGGAGGGCCTTCAGAAGTCTGCCCAGCGCCTCTCGACGCCAGAGGCGCCCCTGTCGGGGACGCACCGGCCCAGCAGCCAGGGTCAGCACAAACTGAAGGGGCCTTGGGACACACAAATAAATACACACAAATAACAAGATCCCCCATATGTTCCAATATTTTTGGGGCTTTTGTCTTCCCCACCACTTCCCATATTCTCCACTATTTTCTGAGGAGTCGACGATGAATTGTGTCTGTGTGTTATCTCCCCTCCTGACAAGCCCAGGTCGGCCAGGGCCCTGTCGCGAATCCTGGCCGGCCGCTCAGCAGCGCCCAGACCGGGGTCAGCAGAGGGCGGAGAAGGGAGGTCCAGCCTGTCTACATCTCTGAAATGGGTCTGCTGCCAGAGCTGGAACCAACAAAAAGATTCGTGCTCCTGCTCCTCGTCCTCTTCCTTCTCCGTCTTCTCCTCCTCCTGCTCCTCCTTCATCTGCTCCTTCTCCTCTTTCTCCTCCTGCCCCTTCTCTTTCTCCTTCTCCTCATCTCCCTCCTCTTGATCATCATCATCGCGAACACCGTTCGCGCTGACCCCTGTCACGAGTGACCCGACAACGCCTTGATGAGAGAGCACAGCCGTGAGGCCAAAAACCAGCAGCGTGCAGCAGATGCCCCCCCCCCTTTCCCTATCCCCTCCCTTCCGTCCGACCCGAGATGCCCCCTCCCCCTCTCTACGAGCCCCCAACGAGTTTGGGAGGCCTGGGCTCGTCCTCCTCCTCCTCCTCCTCGACCTCGATCCTCAATCCGCCTCCTCAAAGCTCCTCCGTCGCATCGTCCCCCCGGGATGGGAAACCAAGCGATACCGATGCCGGAACTCCCCCGATCCGGGAACTCCCCGATGGGGATATGCTCCAGGCTGGTAACTGTGCACTTTTCGGTTTAGCGCCTGTTTTTTTTAGACTCTGGCAAGTTTACTTGCATGGACGGGGGGGGGGGGCTGAGCCTGAAGCAAGCCTGGGGGGGGGGGGCGCGGAAATCACGCAAGTCGAAAGGCACTTGCACGCTAGTATTCGCTTGAAGAGGGGCGAGGGGGGGCGAACGCCATGCAAGTAAACTTGCCAGAATCCAAAAAACAGGCTGTTAGCGCGTGTTTCTTTGTTTTGGACGCCCGAAATGGGCACCGAAAGAATGGGTACAATGCCCAACAACAAATGTTGTCCCAAACCAACAGCGGCCGCTGTTGGGCAGGCGGCCTTCTGTCTCGAATGGACACAGGCCGCGGCGGCGTGGACAGCGAATCCTGTTCAGAATGAACAGGAACTGCTGTTGGACATCGTACCCATTCTTTCCGTGCCCATCTCGGGCGTCCAAATTTGTTGCCCGGTGATCCGGGACGCTCCTCGATGGCCCTCGCGGGGAAGCGTGCACACGTCCGAGCGGTGCCAAGACGTCGGACTCGTCGGATCCGCGGCGGAGCCGCGCCGAAGCCGCGCCGCCCCCGCGCCAGATCCGCGTCGAGTCCCCCTCGAGCCCGCGTCGGGCACGGGAGAAGGCACCCATTTGATCTGGGCGACAGACGAGGCCGGCCGAAGGTACACGTAAGCACTGTCGGCCGCGGCACCCCGAGGTGCCTTCTCCTCCTCGAGGCCTCGAGCCTCGAGGTGTCTTCTCTCCTCCTCTGGCTCGAATGGGGTAACACAAAGATACCGATACCGCTCCTCCACGGCCCTCTCCTGGGGTGCGTCCTGACCAGAACTAAATCGGGCCTGTCCCCCTACAGGGTTTTTTGGGGACGAAGAATTAAACATACCCCCCAAATACCCCCAAATGGTCAACAAATACTCAAAACATCGCCCCCTGACTTAAAAAAAAATGTTTGCATATTCCCCCTGTAGAGGGACAAGCCCGACTTACGACCAGAACTTCGAGACGAATCCAGTCGTGGCGACGAGCACTCTCCGGGACGAGCCGGTGAGCACGCGAGAGGCCGCCGGGCGCCCCGACGGCGCAGAGGCGGCGCAGCACTCTGCGGGTCGCACGTGCGAGGACTGCGGACGTGATCAGACAGCCTACGGGAGACACACGCCGCGCTTGCGGCAGCGGTGCCGGCACCTTTGCCTCCTCCGAGCGACGGCGCCCTCGAGTTCGGGAGGCCTGGGAGTTCGAGGAGGAGGGGGAGGGGGAGGAGGAGGAGGAGGGGGAGGAGGGGGAGGAGGGGGAGGAGGGGGAGGAGGGGAGGAGGAGGAGGAGGAGGAGGAGGAGGAGGAGGAGGAGGAGGAGGAGGAGGAGGAGGAGGAGGAGGAGCAGGAGGAGGAGGAGGAGGAGGAGGGGAGGAGGAGGAGGAGGTGGAGGAGGGCCGCGGCGCCTCAGCGGCGCGCGCGGCTGCCTATCCTGGCGGGCCAGCAGCGCCGCCACGGCGCCCGCCGCGGTGCCGCCGGCGCGGCGGCCGCGCGCCTCGCGCTCGAACTCATCCTGGGCGACAGGGCAGCAGAGAGGGGGCATGTAAGGGATGATTCGGGTTGCGCCAGGATCGGCCCCAAACGAAACAGTGCGTGCCCATGATGGGCACACAAATGGGCAACTCTCTGTCGTCACTTTCTGTGGTGCATGATGGGCCACGTCTGCGTCGCAGACGGGGGGGGGCTGGAAAGGGGCATGTCACTCCTTGACAAACACCTTGCCCTGATTCGTTGCCGCCGCGATAGCAAATGTGCTCACGTGGTGGAGAAGTTTGGAGAAACATCCTGTAGACCTCGCGCGGCAACTCGAGACACAACTTGCGTCGGGTCCACGTCGGATTTACGTCGGGTTCCCGTCGGATCGGGTTCCCGTCGGATCACATCGGAATTACGTCAGGTTCACGTCGGGGTTTCGTCGGACATACGTCGGGACATCGCCGCGCGTTCGTCGTCCCATACCTGACGAGACGGACGTGTGGACTAGGTAATACAACTATTGCGCGCCCGCGAGGCCTCCAGGACTTTCCTCATAGCGAAGCGACATCAACGATTCTTCTGCTTCGAACCCAGACATGCTCGCGTGGTGAAACAGTTCACGACGGGGCGTTTCTTGTGGTGTTTCCCCTCTGGGGGCCGTCAGCTTGCCCCTGGACCGAAACGAGAACGACTCGGGATGAAAAACCGGCCCTCGGGAAAGGGTCGGGACATCTGGGGACCCCAAGTTGTAAAAATCAGGACGTCGCGTGTCTGCGAATATTCTGTCTCGATCGATCCCCACCCGAGAACGCGAGGCGGGATGCCCAGTGAACACTGGGACCCTTGGGGCCTTGGGGCCGCGGTACGCAGGGGTGAGAGGCGGGTCGGGGACAAAGAATCAGGCGTGCCTGGCGCAAGCCCGTGTCGGTCCATGGCCGTCGTCGTGCTGCCTGCGCGCCGTGAACGATCGAGGAAGCACGAATAGCATGTTCCACGCGGATTTATTGGATCGGCGCTGGACCCCCCGGCAGCCCCGCCAACGCTTGCCTTGGCGCTTTCCGCGCGCCAGGGAGGGGGGCCCAACGCCCACCAGAGAAATCCGCGCGGACCTCCGACATGTCTGTCTATGCCAATGCTTGTTCTTCTGCGCCAGCGGAACCCGCCAAGAGCGCGCGCGCCAGAGGCGCCGCCAGGGGGGGTCCAGACCCTAACCAAGAAATTCGAGCGGACGTCAGACAGTCTACGCTTGCGCAGTTTGCCGTTCTCCGATCGATGGCGGTGCGCAGATAGGTCACAGACTGCGACCAGAGAGAGGGGCTGTCGGACTAGCAAAGAGGTGCCCCCTCATTCTTGCCATCGCTCGGACGGCCATTCCCCGTGCATGTTTCGGCGTCGTGCGCTTATTTTCTGCAAGATGATCGAAGATGATCCTCGATGGTCCCCGCCGCAAAAAATTGCACACGTCCGAGCGATGCCAAGAATGGCTTCGTATCTCCAGGATCTCGCGCGCTGGCAGGGTGGCGAGGGAGACCTCGCCACCGATACCCCTGAAGAGACGAGGCGCCTGCCAGTCTCCGCCCGTTGCCCGCGCCATGCCGCACTGCGGCCAGGGCAGGTGCTGACAGCTCGCGAAGGGATCGCATCGAACGACGGAGCACGAGCACACAGGCAACGCTTGGCGACGCAATGGCAATTTAGGGGGGCAGCGCAACGCCCCGCAGCTCCTCCTCTGCATCGCGGAGCCACAAGTGCTGACGGGCGCCAGCACGCGCGACGCAAACGCGCGACCCTATCGAACGACGCAGCCGCAGCCCCCCGCACGTGGCACCCCAAAGAGTTGCCACCATCATGCGTGGCAGCAGGCTCGCAAGCGGGCGCACGGACGGCGCGCGCGTGCGCAAGGCAGCAACAAGGCGAACACGATGGACCACACGGAGAGACGCCAGGACGGCTCGACGGCCCGACGACGGGGAAAGTCACGGCTCGACGGCTCGACGGCGAGGAAATGCACGATGCGACCAACGCCGCGCCCACGCTCGCAGGCGGCCCAAAGATAAATGTCCCCAGCCGCTGTCGACGTTGATCCGAACTCCGCAACTGTTGCGGAACACCGCAACTGTTGCGGAACACCGCAACTGTTGCTGCCCGCGCATTGCGGCTCGCGTCGCGGCGCTAGCGGGCGGTGCCCACTACGGCGCCCAACGCGTGACAACTGTGGTGCCCACTATTTCTGTGGCCCGCAAAAAACCAGCGGGAGCTGCGCCATGACGCCTGCTTTGGCGATCCCTGGACCGCTTGTCCTGACAGGGTGTGTGCGGTGGTGGTGGGGGGGGGGGGGGGGGGGTCTGTGGGCGCCATAGCGGTCACGTGGGAACGAGTAGTGGGCACCATAGACCACAGTGGTCCCACAGGGACGATGAGTGGTCACACAAAAGACCATTAGTGGCCACATCGGACACATACGAACAATATGCGCACGCTGTTGTTCATCAGACCCAGCAAAAGGCCGACCCGACTTACAAACTTACCCTCGGCATTCGAACACGGTAGCACCAAGGCCCGAGCCGACGCCGAGACGCTGCATAAGTTATGCGAGAAACAAAAACGAGGGCAGCAGCGGACCGAGAGAAAATACGCACAGAACATGATTTTATAGCCGACGCTGACACGCTGCATAAGTTACGTGAGAAACAAAAAACCAGGGCAGCAGCGGACTGAGAGAAGAGACGCGCAGAGCATGATATTATACAGACGCCTCAAGCTGGGTATATTCGGCCACTTGTAAGCGCACCCAACTGTCTCCCCATCCCCCGTTCCTACGCTTCTCTTTCGGACAACCTATGCCCTTGAAGCGCCAGCTGGGCCAGGCCGCCGACGGCGCCTGCCATCCCTATAGGTCGTGGGTGTGGTGGTACCACTGCGGGGACTCGAAGAACTGATATACTCGTTTTTTCCCCAACGCCACGCGTGGAACTTCCCCTGGTGGCCCCGGGGCCCGACCAGCTCTTTCATAGACGGGAGATGCTCGCAGATCTTTTATGTGCATGCATTCTGCTCAAGGCGACGTTTGCCATAATGTTGCACGCGCGTGATTTTTCCAAACCGAAAATAATTCAATGAGAGAACATGGTGGTCCCACGGGGTCGAGCCGTTCTTCGCCAGAGCAACGCGTATACGTTGCTGTGTTCTTCATGTAATCCTCCATCCCCTCCTGGTCGTCCTTTGGGACTATCGTCATATAACGAAGCATCCAGTACTGGGCTGATTTGATCTGCGCTATGCGTGCACGAGTGAAAAGCAGAAGCCCGAAACAATGGAATGCAGCGGCCTTCGCGGCGCGGTCCAACAGAGCGATTAATTTCCCCAGTGGCGCTCGCCTCGCACAGAGCGAAGCTATGTTCTTAGCGAAACAGGCCCACGCGCGTGCAATGCCTTTTCGGACGGCAGTCCTGGCACTTCCATCGAACGAAAATTGAGCTCCAAGCATCTGACTCCCCTCATCCCTGGGCATCCGTTTCAAACGACCCACTGAGCGTCGCCGAGGCGGGGTTAGCGTTGCCCGCCGTCGTGATCCAATAGCACTCACTATGTCTAATAACTACACAATAGCGCCGCCGACGGATGAAGCGCAACGCCCCCCATCACCTGCACGTGCATGGAAGGCGAGGAGGCGCGCGCATAATGATTGCCCGTCAAAGTAATATGCTAAGACGATCACTTTACAGCTCCTCACGACAACGTTCGTTTTGCCTCATCACCTCCAGTTCCTCTTCCTGTAAATGATAACCCCAACATTCTCGTGCGCAGCGATCTTCCACCCCACGAGCGGCATCGCCCGCGAACGCTGACAACTGAAACGGCGCCCCGGGGCCCCCCTGCAAAAGCAAGCGGGATCTGAGCGCAGCTCGGGTCGGGGGGTGTCCAGGGAGAAGCATCTCCGAGACCCTGCCGCGGATTTCACGAAGCCAGGCTGCCGTGATGATTCGCGGAATACATCGACGCCGGTGATTGCGGATGATGAGCGGGCGGGGGACGCGGTCGCAGGCCTCGTGGACATCACCCGCCCCTGTGTAGAGATGCTCCTGGAACTCTATTGTTTCTTCCAAGAACAATCGGGGTAGTCGATGCCACTGCGTGGACCTGCAAACCTTTGCGGAAAGCGAACTGGCGATCGAAAAATGGGAAGGCCATGAAAATCGGCAAGGGCCCCCTACGCACATGGAGCACAACTTGTGAACACTGGACAGGATCGCAGTGGGTCTGAAATCAGAGACCTTGCAGGCACCCCAGAACCTGGCCACCAGGGAAACTTGGTGGCGAGAAAAAATCAGATCGGTCTGTTCGCTCGGGTGGTTCCACACACTGAGAGTGAAGATCTCACCGAGCAACTCTAGAGTCTCGTTACTCAGCACCTGCAGCATCTCCGCGACTACACAGTCGTCTCGAGCATAAGACTTGCCTGGCTTCATCCGAGCAAGGCATCTACGCAATAGGGCGGCATCGAATTTTTTGGGCGGCTCCCTCCTGCGGCCGCTGCGTCAAGCCCACGCGGGTAGCTTCCCATCCTGGGCATTAGGATCGTCGAACAAGCCATGTTGAAATAGTGCCACTTCCTCCCTCATCATCCACCTGCGAGATCAGTTACCCCCCCCCCCCCCCCTTCTGCTTGAGCGCTTTAACCTTCGCGGCTTTGAACCTCCTGTCCACCTTGCCGTGTTTGAATAAGTATTTGTGTTTGAAGTCATTCTTTTCAGCTTGTAGCTTATGTTGCAACTCTACCAGACGGGTGCCCGATGCATGTCGAAGGCTAGGGTCCATTTCAGCATCGCGTGCCTGGCGGGTCGCCGATGCTTGCAGTTGCAGTGGGTGCTCCTTAAGGGTCCTGGCAAGGTCTCGGATTTTCTTCTGTGCACGGCCTGCGGCCACATCGGCACCCGCCGAAGTACATTCGCCGAGGCAGGGGACGTGCTGGCCCATGTCGGGAGGGGGCTCATCCATAACCATCTGCGCGGGCGGGCGCTGCTGCTTGCGGGGCTTCGCTAGGAGGTCGGCCCAGGCGCAGCGGACGCCGCCGTGCAGCCGTGGTTGTACAAATGCTGGCGCTCGTCCGTCGGGATAGAGCTGCGTCTAAGTGGGGTCGAGAAACCGGCGCTCTCGAGCGGGCCCGCCAGGTGGGGTCTGACCTGAGACCATCTGACAGGAGACAGCGAGTTCGGGTTTCCATCCTCCAAGGCGAGGCGACCAGCAATATCGTTACACGAGACACCAGTATGTCCACGTGCCCAGAGAAGGACGAATCTGAACGCGCGGAAGACTGTGCCCCAGACAGAACCGAGCAGGGAGGTGAGGAAGAGGTTGTGCTTAGGGTGGAAGGTGTTGTCCAGGATACCTATCACGTACGCGGGGTAAAAGACGACGTCGAACACGGAGCCTGCGGCGATGAGGTGGTGTCCTGAGGGCGTAAGATCCTAGGAGCCACAAACCTGCTTCGATTGCCCCTGAGAGTTCAGCAGTATTGCTTGTACACCTAACCGCTCCTAGAAAACCGTGGGAGGCGGGTTTGGCGCGCACAAGGCCGCAGGCTTCGAAGGCGGGGGCGAGTTTGACCCCTCAGGCTGTCAAAGACTTCGACTTCGGGATCAGGCCAGGTGGGTCCCAAAATACGGCAAAACCCCAACCGCACGTGGACTTCGTCTTGGTGCGTTTTTCTTGAAATGGCCATCGCTGAAAATTCGAAAGCGAACCTGGTCGGGCGAGATGTCTGCTCGCAGCCGCCCTGCAATGTCAAATATGTCCTCGAGCTGGGCACTGAAGGTGTGGTCCAGCAGCTGCCGGCCCGCAGGTTTCGACGTGAAACGATGCTTGCAGATTGGTGTGAAGGCAATCTGGCGCCGGCGCTCAGCGGAAAAGCGGAGCACCACAGGCAAGTAGTCCGACTCCACCGCCGACGACTCCCTCGCCCGGGCGTTGTGGCTGGCCGCGGGGAAGGCACTGCTCACCAAAGCGAAGTCGATCTGCCTTGGCTCGAACCGACCGTCGTAGAAGCAGGTGGCGACGCCCATCGCTGGCTTGCTCCAAGTGTCGGCTGCGATCAGGTCGTTCGATATCATAAACTCCCGCAGGTAGTTCGCTTTCCATGAGTGCACTCCTGCTGTGCAAGGTCCCAGTTCACGAGTCGGATACCTCCTCTTGCCGAAGGGGGCGTTCGCACCAACGCAAATACTGGCCTGAAACCTGACGGCGTCGTTTCAATCAGCTGCTCGCACCCTGGAGGTCTTGGGCGTAGAGGGTATGATTGTGGGAGTCGGGGTCGAGATGGGCACAGCTGGTCTAGATATTGCCACGAGCTGTGTGGACACCTAACGCTAACCATGACAATATGAACAGTGGCTTCCCGATGATGCAAGCCGTGAGCGTCTTGTGCACTACAATACAGGGTCTCCTTTGCTGCCTCCCGCTGGGGGGCCCTAGGATTACTGTATGGCCAGCTGTCTCGGGTTTTGCAAGGTCCGTCTCTGTGAATTCTTGACAACGTATCACATCCCAGTAGACTTCGCGCTCCAGTTGGTCCAGCACCCCCACGACGCCCTTCATCGGAATTCCACGGCCGTCTCACGAGATGAGCACAGTGTCGTCGCCGATGCGAGCACTGGTCTCTGCAGATAGTCAAACTCTGCGTGGCGGGTCGCTGATCTCGTCCAGCTTGGCTGTCAGATCGATCTGCACTCCCATACTATCCAACCAGGCCTGACCACCCTCTGCGACCCGCAGCAGGTATGATGGGAATGAGCACGTCAGCAGTCGGATCGGCTTCTTCGGCCGCACCTCGTGAGGCACATATCTCGCGCAAGCTGACAACCGTCCCCGCGTCTTCCTGCGCATCCAAAGAGTTGCGTCGGCCATTTTGCAGCGAACGCGGCCTTGATCAGGTCCTTCGCGTGGGCAGCGCGGCTGAAGCATACGATCTCGACAGTGTATTTCTCCATACTGTGCCACAACTTCCGGTTGTTGCTGTCGACCATGTCCACCCCAACACCCCTCCCGGCGAGGGAGCTATTGAACTTCTTCCCCTTCATCAGTACCAGACACTTCCACATTCTCATCTGGCTCACGACCTCAATCTTCGCGTCCAGGGGCTTGATCGACTCACGAAGGACACTCCTGAAATCCTGAGACAGTGTTGCGAACAACCTGCTCTGGCCTGGGTCGAGACCTTCGGGAGGCTGAGCTGGGGAAGGCCAGCAGCGGGAGGGCCAACCGGGGGGCCAGGGTGAGTTGGCTCGGCGGGTCCCTTATAATAGCCTTTCCATGGGTCGAAATGGTTCGTGTTCGCTAGAGCGGGTCCTCCTCTGAGCGCAGCAGCCACCCCAGCACTCCCAGCGATTCTTCTCAGGTTCGCGTCGTGGATCTGTTCGATCTCCTCGCCTCCCATCAGGTCATCTGGGAGAGCCATCGCGAATCGTTCTCTCGACGATATATCTCCGCACAAGAAGCAACATGCGTTTGCGGGGCTCATACAGTAAAACTGAAAGACGGTGAAACTGGTAGCGTAGAAGAGACGTCTCATGCACAACAGCCGCAGACCCAGCAAGAGTCCTGAGCCAAAATGGCCAACCCGACGAGGATGATGACAAGGAGCGAAGAGATCTGGCGAACGAGAGGAAAAAGTGATGGCAACGATGTTGATGACGAAAGAAGGGGAGGAGGAAAGGAGGATCGGCGCACCAACCGACATGGACATGGTAAAACAGGAACACAACGGGCATCAATCGCTGTCTCTCCAATGATCACCCCACCGTCCTCCTGTTTCCTCCTTTTCTCCCCCCTCCTCCTCGTCTCCGTCCTCCCTCCTCCGCAATTTGCCACCAGCGTCCTCGTCGAAATGCAAGCGCGCGCTAAAATTAACGATGGATTGGCCCGAATAGCACGACAACGTGTCGGTGATTGCGATCTGTTGCGACTCCTCGCTGCGCGTTTCACGTCAGATTCGCGAGTGCTCCATCGTGAGAGTCTGTCTGTGGCTCCCTCGTGGCTGCATCCATGAGACAGGGATTACTGCAACAATGCACCGACGCCGATCTCTGCTAGGCAGGCCCGAACTGAATTGGACGGTGAATTCGGATGGGATCGGAAACTCGGGAGCGGCCAAGAGGGGGGTGTCCAAGAGGGGGGGGGTGCAAATTATGACCAGCGGCATGTGCGCGGCCCAGCGGGGGGGCCAGGGACGTAATGGAATAAGAAGAGGCGCCATGAGATCTGGGGAGATATCATGGCCCCCGCCATGATATCCCCCCCCCCCTGGTCATCACCCCCCTCTTTGCCGCCCCCGAGCATCGGGTCCTGCTTGACTCGGCGCGACATCCGATCCACGTCGGAGCGTCCGGAATCGCGGCATCGGGCTCGGCCCCTGCAGGTCGGACAGGGCCTCGGAGCGCGCCGGCTCGGCTCGGGCAGAGCTCGACACACCGGAGCCTTGGCACCGCATCGGCTCGACCTGGATCGCGAAGAGCCGTGCGGATCCCTGCCTGGCCAGTCTGAGGGGGCCCTGGGGCACACAGCAAAATGAATAGACACAAATCACAGGACTCCCCATCTTTTCACACACAATCACAGGACTCTCCCATATTTTTAGGGAAATCGACGATGAACTGTGTCTTTGTGTCTTCCCCCTCCTGAGAACCTCCATGCCGACTTTTTGCCCGGCCAGCCCTGGGGCTCCGGATCGGCGCACACGGCCCCCGTCCCCTGGCGCACGGCGCCGGACGAACAACGCAAGAAGCAGCACGCGTGCTCGGGGCGGTGCGCGTGCATTTCTCGCATCGGCGGTGGACGCCACCCCCACCCTGGCGCGCGGAGCGCGCCAGGGGCACCCATAGCGCCGATCCGAACCACCCGCGCGGACCTCCGAACACTTCTGTCTGTGCAATCTCTTCCTGTTCGAGGCGTGTGCTGCACTGCGCTGTCCTGGGCCCCGGGTCGCCATGTAAAACAGGGCTAGGATCGGGATGAATCGCTCCAGACCGTTCCGGAGCGCTCTCAGAGCGTTCCGGAACGCTCTGGAGCGGCCGCGGCGCCCAATACATCCTCCAAACCCGCCGATTCTCAGAGAATGAATCGCTCCAGACCGTTCCGGAGCGCTCTCAGAGCGTTCCGGAACGCTCTGGAGCGGCCGCGGCGCCCAATACATCCTCCAAACCCGCCGATTCTCAGAGATTTCGAGTTATCCCGATCCGATTTCGTCCCGATCTTCGCGTCGTTTTAAGGCCCCCCCGAGAAGCCTGGGGCGGTCTCCCACCCTCAACCCAGGCGCACCAGGGGCGCCGCCGGAGCCGGACCGTGTCTTGGCTGTCCTGGGGCCCGGCGAGGGCCTCCAGATGCCGAAAACGCGAGACAGCCGCAGGCCCAGCTTTTGTCAAGAGCATCTGCTTAACCGATGCCTATCCCCACTGGGGTGGCCTGGGCCCCACTGGCCGAATCACCCCCCTAGGTGGGGACAGGCTGCTGCCTTCGGCTTTCGAGGAGCCTGTCCTCAACTGGGATGGTGGGATAGTGGGGCTGAGATGCTATGGCTGGGATGGGTCGAGCGATACTGACTTCAATGCGTTGGAGGTCTGAGGAGCTGTCCCAACGTTCTGTGCGCCCGCATGTCCCTCTCCGCAGGCAGCATCCGCCTCCACTCCGCATGCAGCGCCGGCAGCGCCACGGTGACGCCCCTCTCCGCGTGCTGCCTCACGAGCGGCGAACATATCCGCATCCGCGCCCTCGCCGTCCAGAACCCAGGGCGCGATCCCGCGGATGCGCGGCCGCACGGATACGTTCCGCGCGGGGCATCCGCGAAAAGAACAACGCCTTGTATCCGTGGGGTCGCGGCCCTCAGGGGCCTGACTACCTACCAGACCACCCCAACCCAACCCGAAGACCCGAATTTCGGGTTGAGGGGGGTATGGGCTCTTTGTGTGTTTTTCCAGTGTTCCCGGACCCCCCCCCACTATAAATCGAGGGTAAATCTGAGCCTTCGGGTTGGGTTGGGGTGGTTTGGTGGGTGGTGAGGGCCTGGCTCGCGGGGCCGCGGATACGGACCCTGCCTTTGCCCACGGCCTGCGCCGCCGCTCCAGGAAGACCTTCAGCGCGCTGGCCTGCGCGCCCCTGGCGCCCGCGGCGGGCACCTCCGCGTGCACCTCCGCGGCCGCCGCCGCGCCGCGGCCCTCCGCGCTCGCGGCGCCCGCGGCGCCCGTGGGCTCGGCGCCGCCCTCGACGCCCGCGGTGCCCGCGGCGCCCGCGGCGCCCGCCTCGGCCGCGCCGCGGCCGCCCGCCCCCGCGCCGCCGGGGCCCGCGGCGCCCGTGGCGCTCCCCGTGGCGCCCGAGGCGCCCAGCAGGGCGTCCGCGGCGCGGCGGGCGGCCTCCGCGTCGGCCTCCGGGCACGCCATGGCGGGCCAAGGGGTGCTGCCAAAAAGGGGCCCTGGCCACGAGGGTGGCGGCCTCTCCCAGATGGGGCCGGAGGGTCGCGCCGCACCGGCGATGCCTCGGCGACGTCGGCGGTGCATCGGCGACGTCGGCGTGGAGGAGATCGGGCTCCACATCAAGACGCATCGCCGATGCATCGGCGGTGCGGCGTGATCCTCCGACCCCAGCTGCTCGGACTCAGGGTGGGCGGCCCAGAAAGATGGGATCGGAGCCTGTCGCGCCATCGTGGGGCCCTCTGAGGCCTTCTGGGCCTCGCGAGGGATGCTCTGGGAGCCATGTGCGCCTCGCTGGGGGAGCTGGGGCCACCTCGGGCCGGGGCCATCTCAAGCAGCACCCGAGTGGGGAAGGCCGACCGCGGCAGCTAAGCTACCGGAGCATGCCGGGCCACGCGGGCTCGGGAAGCCGATGGGGCCGCCCTGAGCCTTCTGCAGGGCGAGCGCTCCGGCGAGCAAGGGAGGAGCCGAGCAAAGAACTCTGAGCACTCTCTTGGGGTGGAGGGCTCAGGGTGCAATCCCTGTGGGCTCTTGCATCTCGACACTGAAGCCGTCTTGGGATTCGCCTTTTGCAGCTTCGAGCCTCAAGAATCAATCGAAACGGCATCTCAGATGTCACCCTTTGCCTTAGTGGGCCCTGGAAACGACAGGGCCGTTTTTTCACGGGTTTCGTTTTGCAGTTTTTGTTGACGGTTCCGACGCCGCTTTTTTAACTGGTTCCGTCGCAGTTTCTTGACCGGTTCCGGCTCCGGTTCCAATCCTGGAGCCGAGTTTTGCCGTTTCCGGTCGCCGTTGTTTTGCCGTTTCCATTTTCGAGGAAACTTTTTTGGAATCGGTGAAAAAACGGCCCTGCCGTTTCCGGGGCCCACAAACCCTTTGCCCTCCAACCAAAGCAAATGCTCGGGAACCAGCGGACCCGACGTCTCCCCGAGACATCGAGAAAGAAACATCCCACCTTTAGGAACATGATACTAATTTGAAACATGTCAGAGAAATATTGTTTATCACCACCTGGGCTGTTGGCGGTCATTAAGATGAGGGTCAGAGTTGCAGCCAGTTTTCGCAGAAAGGATCTGGACATATCAGAGCAATGATCGGCAACTCCTCGCGCGGCGTGCTGCGGCGGCGGCCCCCGCGGCGCGCTGCGCCCTGCGGGCGGGCCGCGTGTCGCCCGGCGCCCTGCAGGGCGGGCGGTGGGGAAGAGCTCGGGACGCGGACGCTTTGACTTGGGAACCAGGCGGGGCGAGGCGAGGCGAGGCGAGCGGTTCCGCCGGGAGCGGGGCCCTCGAGGGCCTGCGCGGGGGGCCGAGGCCCTCGGTGCTTACAGGCCTTGTTTGCCGAGGTCGGGGTGCCCAGTGGTGAGCTGGTGGACGCCGGAGGTCAAGTGGTGCAGGTGGAAGTGGAGAGTCGGAAGCCAGATGCTGGAGTCGGAGTCCTGGGTGGTCGGCGGGTGGAAGTGGAGGTGGATACAGTCAACCAGGATAGCAAGGATGCGCGATGAGGATGCAGGGGCCTGGGGCGCCCATTTCGGAGCTTTTCGAGCGGGGCGCGGCCAGCGAAAGCGGCGAAGGATGGACCGAGGAGGCAAGGACTAGGGCTCCCAACTTCGCGCTTCGCGCTGCGCGAAGCGCGAAGCGCGAATAACTTCGCGCTCTCGCGCCGCCCTCCCAAAGGGAGAATAGGAGGACGAGGAGGAGGGGGAGAAGGAACGAGGACCGCGAAGCGCGAAGCGCGAATAACTTCGCGCCCTCGAGGGAGCCCTTGCAAGGATGCAGGGGTACCCTTGGGAAGGCTGCCCATCCTTGCTATGCGGGTTGCCTGCAGCTCGTCGTGCCGGAGCGTGGCGGGCCAGAACTGGCGGCGCAACACGCTCAGCCAAGCTTCTGTACGTACCGCAGCTGCGTGGTTGAGCAAGACCAAGCTTCCCACGCGAAGGGCCCCGTTGGCGGGGAGCGCGGACAAGCCTGGATACGGCTCACATGGAGGACACTCCCTGTGGGCAGCTCATGGCATCACCCCTCTCCACATCAGAGCCCCGCAGGACAGGACCAACCGGCGTCGAATCGATAAGCCGGCCGACCTGGAATGAGCGTCTGATCGGGAGGCATCGGATCGGAGACGGAATCGGATCGGGACGACCGCGCTAGGATACATAATAGCGCCATGCAAACATCGGGCCGCATTGGGTCGTTGAACTATCAGAATCAAGCCGTTCAGTCTGAAATTTCCCCGTGAAAAGAAAGGCTGCAAAGTCTGCGTGAACGAGGGAGTCGCAGTCGGCGAACCCCACGCAATCGCCGAAAGTCACGGCTGTTGAGTGACGGCCAGGTTCCGCCACAGTGCGCCCGTCGTCACATCACCTGAGGTATGAGATGGATTCGGCGTCGAAGTACGTGCATACGCCAGCGCTGCACGTGCCACCAGATACGCTCCCCTGGCAGGACATCAAATCGGGAATTGATGGGATTACCCTCGTGTCATTGTCTCGACGACATGATTTTTCAAGCCGCGGCCACAGATTTTTTTCGTCCGGGATCCGGTGTTGAATGTCCCAGGGTCCCGATAACGGGCCCCAGAAGCCGAGATCAAGGACTCACGCCAGAGTTGACAAAAACAACGTGTCGTCCGAGATCTGGGCCCCTCCTTCCCTCAGCCCATCCCAGCCCTGAGATCCAGCGTTGCAAAATTGAAGGGGCCCCAAAAAACACAAATAAAACGATCCCCCAAATGTTCCCATATATTTTCTGGGTTTCTGTCTTCCCCCCCAGTTCCCATATTTTCTGATATTTTCTGGGGAATCGACGACTAATTGTGTCTGTGTGTCTTTTCCCCTCCTGAACAATAAACTACAGCACAGCGAAAAGTCACGACCGGTGCCCCATATTTTCTGGGAATCGAGGGTTAATTGTGTGTGTGTGTTTTTCCCCTCCTGACTCATCCCATCCCAGCCCTGAGATCCGGCGCTGCAACATAAACTACGGCACAGCGAAAACTCACGAGCGGTGCCCCAGGACCAAGCGTTCTGTGGGGCCCTTGTCGAGCGGGATCGATCTGTGATGGCCCTGGGGCTCTGAGAGCGGGCCAGGATCAACTGGTGCGAAACACGTGCCGCGCCCCGATCTCAGGGCAGTAGAGGTACAAGAAACAGCATATGTAAGCATAATTTCTCAGATCGGCGTCGGGCCCCCCTCCCTGGCGCGCGGAGCGCGCCAGGGGTGGCGCTGGAGGCACCGCCAGGGAGCCCCAGCGCCGATCCGAGGGATCGGCGCGGACCTCAGAGATGGTATGTATACGTCCTTGTTTGTTCCCCTGGGGAGGGGGAGGGGGAGGGGGAGGGGGAGGGGGGGGAGGGGGGAGGGGAGGAGGAGGAGGAGGAGGAGGAGGAGGAGGAGGAGGAGGAGGGAGGAGGAGGAGGGAGGAGGAGGAGGAGGAGGAGGAGGAGGAGGAGGAGGAGGAGGAGGAGGAGGAGGAGAAGGAGGAGGAGGAGGAGGAGGAGGAGGAGGAGCACGCGCCGATCCAGGGACTCCGCGCGTAGCGCCTACAAGTTATGTTGATGCCGTTCGTTGTTTTTCTGGGCAGAGCGCCGTCGGAGGACCCTTCCCGCGGGCCGGCCTCGCCTGCGGGGCAAGGTCCACCCCTACAGAGGTGCTCCACCGACCGGCGAGGCAGAGAGCCGTCCCTCGACAGAGTCCACAGCCGCCGCTGCCTCGCCCCTCCGCTCACGAACAAGGCGCCGAGCGCAGCGGCGGGTCGAGCGACGACGTCGACGACGACGACGAAGGCGACGACGGCGACCACGACGACAACGCCGCCGCCGACGAGGACGACGCCGGCGGCGGCGGCGACAACGACGGCGACGACCCCTCCGCCCGGCGCGTCGCCAGTGGCCCTGCGGCAAAGGCGGGGTCCACGCCGCCCGTGGGCTGTAGCGGCACCATGCGCCGCGCCGGCTCGTACTCGAACCAGGGGAAGAACTCGCGCACGGCTGCCCCTCGATCAGGCGGCAAGGGGGGGGTTCTCCTCCTACTCCTCCTCCTCGTCCTCCTCCTCGTCCTTCTCCTCCTCCTCCTCCTCCTCCTCCTCCTCCTCTTCCTCCTCCTCCTCCTCCTCCTCCTTGTGGCACTGACACCGCGGGCGGTGGAGTCTCTGGTGATACACAGACATGTCCCCTCCAGGTGCCGCATGGCGCCTTGAGGAAGTAGGCGCCTCAAAGCAGCACCCACGCCGAGTGTAAGACAGGTGGGCTATGAGAAAAAACGAGAAGACATAGCGCTCTTACGCCGCGACTTGCGCGGGCCGCCGGCGCGGCACGCTACATTGAAAACGAGGCGAGGGCGTTCACGCGCGGCCTTACGCGGGCAGCTTACGCACGAATGTCGGCGCAGTCGGCCCAGTGACTCTGCGTCGCTCAGGTGGCGACGATGGGGCCCACGGACGCGACGACGATGGGACGACACCGGGACCAAGAAGGAGGTCGAGCTGGGGGACCCGATCGCTACCGCGGGAGGGTAACGACGGGATCAATGCGAGCCCAAGAAATCTAGCTTCTAACTGTCTGAGCGGGGCCAAGTATTGTAAATGCTTGGGCGGCCTAAGGTCGCCAGAGCCGCGTCTCCCGACATCACGCGAATCCTAGCAGCCAGCGAGAGCTGAAACGCCGGCTTGGGGTCACAATGCCCAGGGGGAAGACGCAGGAAGTCTTTCGCCGCCGGGAAGCGCCGTTGCGCCCTCCACCGCCAGGGGGCCGGGAGGGGTGGGGGGGGCCCTCCCTTTGCAATGCCGAGGCTTACAGAAGAGGGGGAGGGAGGGAGGGGAGGAGGAGGAGGAGGAGGAGGAGGAGGAGGAGGCGGAGGAGGAGGAGGAGGAGGAGGAGAGGCGGAGGAGGAGGAGGAGCGGGCAAAGCGGATGGCTGGTGGCTCCAGAGGTCGGCGGCCGCGGCAGGCGGCGGGCCGCACGCCACGCCGAGCACC